AAGTGTCCGGGTCCAAATAGTGCTCCGACCAAAGTGTCCGGGCTCAAATAGCGCTCAGACCAAAGTGTCCGGGCTGAAATAGTGCTCCGCCCAAAGTGTCCGGGCTGATATAGTGCTCCGACCAAAGTGTCCGGGCTGAAATAGTGCTCCGACCAAAGTGTCCGGGCTGAAATAGTGCTCAGACCAAAGTGTCCGGGCAGAAATAGTGCTCCGACCAAAGTGTCCGGGCTGAAATGGTGCTCCGACCAAAGTGTCCGGGTCCAAATAGTGCTCCGACCAAAGTGTCCGGGCTCAAATAGCGCTCAGACCAAAGTGTCCGGGCTGAAATAGTGCTCCGACCAAAGTGTCCGGGCTGATATAGTGCTCCGACCAAAGTGTCCGGGCTGAAATAGTGCTCCGACCAAAGTGTCCGGGCTGAAATAGTGCTCAGACCAAAGTGTCCGGGCAGAAATAGTGCTCCGACCAAAGTGTCCGGGCTGAAATGGTGCTCCGACCAAAGTGTCCGGGCTGAAATAGTGCTCCGACCAAAGTGTCCGGGCTGAAATAGTGCTCCGACCAAAGTGTCCGGGCTGAAATAGTGCTCCGACCAAAGTGTCCGGGCTGAAATAGTGCTCCGACCAAAGTGTCCGGGCTGATATAGTGTCTGACCAAAGTGTCCGGGCTGAAATAGTGCTCCGACCAAAGTGTCCGGGCTGAAATAGTGCTCAGACCAAAGTGTCCGGGCAGAAATAGTGCTCCGACCAAAGTGTCCGGGCTGAAATGGTGCTCCGACCAAAGTGTCCGGGCTGAAATAGTGCTCCGACCAAAGTGTCCGGGCTGAAATAGTGCTCCGACCAAAGTGTCCGGGCTGAAATAGTGTCTGACCAAAGTGTCCGGGCTGAAATAGTGCTCCGACCAAAGTGTCCGGGCTGAAATAGTGCTCCGACCAAAGTGTCCGGGCTGAAATAGTGCTCCGACCAAAGTGTCCGGGCTGAAATAGTGCTCCGACCAAAGTGTCCGGGCTGAAATAGTGCTCCGACCAAAGTGTCCGGGCTGAAATAGAGCTCCGACCAAAGTGTCCGGGCTGAAATATTGCTCCGACCAAAGTGTCCGGGTCCAAATAGTGCTCCGACCAAAGTGTCCGGGTCAAATAGTGCTCCGACCAAAGTGTCCGGGCTGAAATAGTGCTCAGACCAAAGTGTCCGGGCAGAAATAGTGCTCCGACCAAAGTGTCCGGGCTGAAATAGTGCTCCGACCAAAGTGTCCGGGCAGAAATAGTGCTCCGACCAAAGTGTCCGGGTCAAATAGTGCTCCGACCAAAGTGTCCGGGCAGAAATAGTGCTCAGACCAAAGTGTCCGGTCAAAACAGTGCTCCGACCAAAGTGTCCGGGCTGAAATAGTGCTCCGACCAAAGTGTCCGGGCTGATATAGTGCTCCGACCAAAGTGTCCGGGCTGAAACAGTGCTCCGACCAAAGTGTCCGGGCTGAAATAGTGCTCCGACCAAAGTGTCCGGGCTGAAATATTGCTCCGACCAAAGTGTCCGGGCTGAAATATTGCTCCGACCAAAGTGTCCGGGGCCAAATAGTGCTCCGACCAAAGTGTCCGGGTCAAATAGTGCTCCGACCAAAGTGTCCGGGCTGAAATAGTGCCCAGACCAAAGTGTCCGGGCAGAAATAGTGCTCCGACCAAAGTGTCCGGGCTGAAACAGTGCTCCGACCAAAGTGTCCGGGCTGAAATAGTGCTCCGACCAAAGTGTCCGGGCTGAAATATTGCTCCGACCAAAGTGTCCGGGTCCAAATAGTGCTCCGACCAAAGTGTCCGGGTCAAAATAGTGCTCCGACCAAAGTGTCCGGGCTGAAATAGTGCCCAGACCAAAGTGTCCGGGCAGAAATAGTGCTCCGACCAAAGTGTCCGGGCTGAAACAGTGCTCCGACCAAAGTGTCCGGGCTGAAATAGTGCTCCGACCAAAGTGTCCGGGCTGAAATATTGCTCCGACCAAAGTGTCCGGGTCCAAATAGTGCTCCGACCAAAGTGTCCGGGCTGAAATAGTGCTCAGACCAAAGTGTCCGGGCTGAAATAGTGCTCCGACCAAAGTGTCCGGGCTGATATAGTGTCTGACCAAAGTGTCCGGGCTGAAATAGTGCTCCGACCAAAGTGTCCGGGCTGAAATAGTGCTCAGACCAAAGTGTCCGGGCAGAAATAGTGCTCCGACCAAAGTGTCCGGGCTGAAATGGTGCTCCGACCAAAGTGTCCGGGCTGAAATAGTGCTCCGACCAAAGTGTCCGGGTCCAAATAGTGCTCCGACCAAAGTGTCCGGGCTGAAATAGTGCTCCGACCAAAGTGTCCGGGCTGAAATATTGCTCCGACCAAAGTGTCCGGGTCCAAATAGTGCTCCGACCAAAGTGTCCGGGTCAAAATAGTGCTCCGACCAAAGTGTCCGGGTCAAAAAAGTGCTCCGACCAAAGTGTCCGGGCTGAAATAGTGCTCAGACCAAAGTGTCCGGGCAGAAACAGTGCTCCGACCAAAGTGTCCGGGCTGAAATAGTGCTCCGACCAAAGTGTCCGGGCTGAAATAGTCCTCCGACCAAAGTGTCCGGGCTGAAATAGTGCTCCGACCAAAGTGTCCGGGCTGAAACAGTGCTCCGACCAAAGTGTCCGGGCTGAAACAGTGCTCCGACCAAAGTGTCCGGGCTGAAATAGTGCTCCGACCAAAGTGTCCGGGCTGAAATATTGCTCCGACCAAAGTGTCCGGGCTGAAATATTGCTCCGACCAAAGTGTCCGGGTCCAAATAGTGCTCCGACCAAAGTGTCCGGGTCAAAATAGTGCTCCGACCAAAGTGTCCGGGCTGAAATAGTGCCCAGACCAAAGTGTCCGGGCAGAAATAGTGCTCCGACCAAAGTGTCCGGGCTGAAACAGTGCTCCGACCAAAGTGTCCGGGCTGAATAGTGCTCCGGCCAAAGTGTCCGGGCTGAAATATTGCTCCGACCAAAGTGTCCGGGTCCAAATAGTGCTCCGACCAAAGTGTCCGGGTCAAAATAGTGCTCCGACCAAAGTGTCCGGGTTGAAATAGTGCCCAGACCAAAGTGTCCGGGCAGAAATAGTGCTCCGACCAAAGTGTCCGGGCTGAAACAGTGCTCCGACCAAAGTGTCCGGGCTGAAATAGTGCTCCGACCAAAGTGTCCGGGCTGAAATATTGCTCCGACCAAAGTGTCCGGGTCCAAATAGTGCTCCGACCAAAGTGTCCGGGCTCAAATAGCGCTCAGACCAAAGTGTCCGGGCTGAAATAGTGCTCCGACCAAAGTGTCCGGGCTGATATAGTGCTCCGACCAAAGTGTCCGGGCTGAAATAGTGCTCCGACCAAAGTGTCCGGGCTGAAATAGTGCTCAGACCAAAGTGTCCGGGCAGAAATAGTGCTCCGACCAAAGTGTCCGGGCTGAAATAGTGCTCCGACCAAAGTGTCCGGGCTGAAATAGTGCTCCGACCAAAGTGTCCGGGCTGAAATAGTCCTCCGACCAAAGTGTCCGGGCTGAAATAGTGCTCCGACCAAAGTGTCCGGGCTGAAATAGTGCTCCGACCAACGTGTCCGGGCTGAAATAGTGCTCCGACCAAAGTGTCCGGGCTGAGACGCTCTCAGAAGCTTCAGGTCACATCGAGAATGCAAAAATTTTTGAGTGGGCAAAATTTACGGCGGACGTTTTTTTGGCCCCCGGACGGTTTGGTCGGTTTAACGACTAAAACGTCCGCCGGACGTCTTGGTCGTCCGGACGTTTTAGTCGGTTACATACGTTCCTTCATATTGATACTTTAATATTTAGTTTACACACTCTCACGGCTGTTAGAATGAACGGCAGCAACGTTAGTAATTTTTTGAACTCGTCGTTCAACGCAATGGAAGCGCACTGGAGCTGTATGACAATAATGTCTGTAATAAGCGTCATACTGTCCTTATCGGCGAATTCCGTGGGAATCGTTGTTTTCGCCATCAGATACCACACTTCTGGGAATTGTTTCTGCACTTACGTTATTGCACTAATGGCTGCCAATCTCCTGTATACCGGCTTGGGAAGCTCGTTCGATATAATGAACAGTGTTTATTCAGTGTGGTTTCTAGGATGGTATACTTGTATGGTTTATTTGTACGCCATCTGGGTTCTTCCCACCGTGCAAGCCTTTTTGCACCTCGTAATTACGGTTAATCGCGCCTGTGCCGCGGCGGTACCCGTTCTTTACCGACGGTACCACGGTCATCGAATTGCGATTTTCTTAATCGTTGCAGCTTGGATAGCTGGTCATGTTCTGGTTACGCCTGGTAAGCCGAATTCCAAACATTATTACCAATACATTGATCACCACCACAAGTTACCACGCTATTCTAGCACTTGTAGTCAGCACTTGTAAGCACTTATAATTACCAAAAGCAAACAAAAAATGTTTTTCTTGCCTCTTGTATATTTGAATATTTTCGCACGGAAAAGATGTTGTTTGATGATTTTGTAAAGAAGCACCTCACAGTCGACAATCGGCACACATACAAAAGCGTTCGGTCCATTTCTGCATCCACACAAAAAGCAACTTTATAAAACCAATGCCCATATTGCATTTCCGAGAAAAATTTGTATTCGGATAGTAAAAAAATAATATAAATTTGTATTCGGATAATAATATGCGTAATATCGCGTTTGCGAAATTTAATTTAACAATGTAGTAAACAAAGTTTAATGGAAAAGAGGACAGCAAAATCGCATTTGACTAAAATTGTATTTTGGCAATGTACTTTTTTTCCGCCAACTATCGTTGTTCTGCTTGTTGCGCGCTAGAGTCGCTCTTCATAAGAAAACATTGAAACATGATACAGCAGAGCGGTGCCGTTTAACTGAGTGCGTAACACTTAATTTTTTCAAGGCTGTATTCAACATGTCTTTATTAAGGCTGTGATTTCGGTTTCTAACCACATCAATCAGCGATAAAATAAAATGCAATCAAATTTACCGTGGGATTTACATATTTAGTCAGATAGTCAATCAAATGCAACAACGCCGTAACGCTTAAATGCCGTAGACTCATTGCACAGGTGTCCTTTTGGATGGTTTATTTAATCGACCGGCAACGGATGACCTGATGAATGTTTGCAATCTCGATTCAGCAGCAAGTGGATCTGCTCGAAAAGACTGGATGTTGACTAACCAGATAGTCATATGTTTCGTGCTACTGATCATCGCCATCCTGTATCCTTACGTTCTGTGCGCTAAACGCCGATCTAGGAGAATCGTCTGCAGCGTTATCCCAACCGTCAGCACGATGACATCGTTATCACGTGTCAATAATTCTGTCGAATTAGGTAACGTATGTCGTGAAAATATCGACCTAAACGTATTCATAAAATATGTTCAGTGTACAGCGCATTACTATTACAGAAGCAGTAACGAGACAACGATACCGCACAAAACAAAATAAAAGCAACGTACTGCTGACTGTGCTGACCGCTAGCTTGCTGATCTTCTGGACGCCCAATGCCGTCTTTTTCGTCGTCGTTCCGCTACAAAATCAGTATAATGAATTAATCGATAATATCGTTACGTTGCTTGTTAACTGTCAAACGGTCATCGATCCCATAATATTTATGTTAGCGTTTTGTCGTCGACCAGTAAACTTGACGCAGCTCACCTGCCGTTCTAAACGGCACGCTAAATTCTGAATCGAATGCCTTCGAAGAGGAAATGCTGATGATAATTATGTAGCGCAATAATTTAAAATAAATTATTTTTTAGTTTAATATTATTTATCTAAGTATGCTGCCTGTAGGTTCTGTTATCACACAATAATGATCCAGCTAAGATACAACAACGGTTATCGATACAACAGTTTAAGTCTTTAATATACATACTCCGAAAGACATTGCTATCGAATAAATTTCATGACCACAAGTAACCAGCTTGACTGCAGATTAATCGACAGTTTATTGTTACTGGCTTACTGCTAATTTATGCAGCAATAATTACCGACTTTTCCAAGTTGTAGTGGAACGAAACTGCCCACAGGCATCTATTTCTTCGCTACCTTGTAAAAGCACAGGCGAGACACAACCGCTGTCAGGATGGCTTATGCAGACCAATTTGTCAAAATGGCGCATCGTAATTTTTTAATTCGATTCTGGTTGAGCGGATTGTTGTGTTTACAAGGTAAGCACCAACTTCCACCCATGACCCCTAGCTTACACTGCTTTGTCCTTTGTTAGGCACAGTGTCAGCTTTGAAATGCCAGCAGTGCAAGAACTACGACAGCTTCCTGGTTTCTCCGCAACTCAACACACGGGACTGTCGCAACTCCTCTACCACGTTAACGGTGGACTGTCCCGGGAAACTATGCGTTAAATTTGTTGGGGCGCTGTATGGGAGTGCGTCCGCTGTACCACAACCGAACACTCTCGATGGTACAGATAAATGTTTGGGATAACTATTACGGTAGTTCTGTAACATTTATATTATACGATGGCGGTTACAGGCATTCAACGAGGATGTGCGAGCGATTTGGTGATCCAGTATTTGAAACCGGAGAGCGCCGCCTACGGTCCCTATGGAAGCTGCCAGAAAGGCGTGCGGATGGTACCCACTCCGTACTTTTCCATGTTCGGCAGTAATTTGGTGCCGACGTACACTTTCGACGGAATCTGGTGCTTTTGTGCCGGTGATAACTGCAATGCCGCCGTATCTTTATCCAGGAATATTTGGCTCATTATGTCATCCTTTGTCGCCTACAAATTGCATATGGTTCTGTGACTGCATTACATCTTTTCTCGTGTCGTGTTTCGCTCACTGGAGAATACCGCATCGCATTCCGGACGCCGGAGACGCGGAAATCTCCATGGTTTTTCACATAAGCAAACTTGGAAAGCCTTTTATTTTCTTCTGCTCTGTAAAAAATTTGTAGAACGACAATAACTATCACTTAATCAAGCGTAGTAAAGTTTGTCATGCGGAATATCGTAGTGCAGCAAATTAGCAACGTACTCGTAATTATATTTATGCAATTTGTAGCGGATTAACAGCACTTGTTTGACGAGTCCAATCGGAAACTGATCATGTTTAGAAACTGCCGATAACGATCTTAATTTGTATCTGTACCGAAATAAAAAATAGCTTTAGGCGAGGAAGTTAATTGTTTTAATTTAACTAGATTCCCATCATTTGATCACGGCCGGGTACTATACGTGCCTCTAATATACTGCTTTATATTGATTGGTACAACGATGCCGAAGGCAATCAGAACCGTTAAATGCCGCTTAACACATATCTGTACTATTGCTTTAGATGTGTTTGTAGAGAGAGCTTCCGCTTTTTTTCGTGATGCAGCCATGGTTTTTGGTGTTTTTCCTTAGGGGTATGTATATGTACACAGTAGGCCTGTGCGGTTAGCATAGTCGCCTATTTTTAACGAGCCCCCAATAGACGGCTACGTCAAAATTAAGCAAAAAAAATCTAACGCTGGATTACTGGAATGAAAAAATTAGTGTTACCAATGTTTGAAGATTCAGATTCCAACACTGTGGCATGGGCCCCCACTCACATGTTTCAATAACGTTGTCGCTTGACAATCAGCACTCTCGAATCAGTGCGCCTGACAGGCTCAAAAATAAATAATTCGATTTACCGTATGTAAAGCGCCTAAATCTATTGTGCTCTCACTGTACTATGTTCTCACTGTACCAGCCCACCATGACCGGTGCATGACCGGTGCCCACTATGACCATCGTACAGCGGTGAACAGTGAGTATTGCGTTGTGCGTTCTTATGAAATTATGGAAGAAATACCCGTCATTGCTTCCCGGAAGCTACAGCGATCTCATGAAGCTAAAATTTAACACTGGAGAATGGATGCAATGGCCAAAAATACAAAAGAACTTCAAAAATTTGGTCACAAAAGCGAATGCAAAATTTTATTACATTTGGGCTACGGCATGGCATGTCTGCATGTTGTTCCGTAATAAACTTATAAAAAAAAACAAAAAAGGTGTTCGAATACGAAATTGTAAGCAATATAATATTTGTAGACTTCGATATCGCCTATCCGTTGTCAGCCCACATTTGCAGGGAAAATGCTTGAAGCTGAACCTTTCCGATTTAGAGTAGCAGGTTATCAGAGGAAGGCAGCGACGATTGCTGCACATTTGAATTCAAAAATATTATTTACAGGTACGCAGGTTTGCTTTCCCGGGAAATAACTTATTCTGAATTGGGTATTGGCTTCGAATTCTTCGAACAATCGTTGTCTACCGTACAAATAAAGGACACCTACAGATAAATTCAAAGGAGCAATCGGACAATTTCATCAATTGAAACGATAACACGCTGATATGCCGCTGTACCGGTACAATTCGGTAAAAGAATCAACATTTTATGTTGATTGATGACCGCTACAATTTTAGTACACTACAGATCTGTACACACGGTCAAATCAATCATAACTCGGGGGAAACAATTAAAAAGGGTTTCCAAAACAAGCAAACTAAACCACATTCGTAGGGCTAGCTAGGTGCCATGACAGGGGTGAAAAACATGCACTTTAATACCAATTTATACTGCGACATAACAGTCAATCATTCCACTACAGACATTACTACACAATCAAGAATTAAAAAAAACAACCAAAATCACAATTTTCAACAACTGTATTCTTTCCGGCAAAGTTCCTAAAACCGCGGCCGCATTGCCTTTAATAATTGCAAGGCTAATGCGCTGCTTTAAAAACGCCGTGGATCTGCCTTCTCCAGATCTCTCCTTGATTTTCCGACCAAAAAAGCTGACCATTTCTCTGGCTCCTTCGCCGAGCACTCCGAGCGTTTCTTCAGCAAAAGGGTTAAACCAGAACTGATCGCCCAGATCCCGATAATTGTACCGTTTCCGGCATTCTGCTTGGTGTGCCGCTGCGCCCGCTGCCTTTGCAGACCGTTTAAGGTACGACTGTGCTAACGTGTCCGCAAAGGTGGCGTTCCATACCAGCTGCTTTCCCTCTCGAACTGGCACCAAGGTCAATCCGTCTGGACGCTTTCCATTGTCTCTGGATAAACCTACGGGTTCCAACTCGCAGGGAAAGCCCGCTGCTACGCATCCTCGTTCCAGTATACTGTTCAGTTCTGTGTGTTGTCTCCATCGACCTTTGCTGTACAGGCAGGATAGTCCATGATGACCATCGGGAGTTACCTGAAAGCCACATCCTGCGCATTCATGCGGTGCCACTCTGGCAAACCAAATCGTAGTCCGACTGCAATTCGAACTTGTTCGTCATTCACCAACGTTCCCAAGCATGCTGCCGGTAGCGCGTGCAGCCATGCCACGGATTCTTTCTCAGATGCCGCTGATAGTGCTGCCATTTCCTGCGGCTTACCACTGGCCATTGCTTATAGGCGTAGCTGCGAGTATGTACGTTCCACGACTGGCCAATCCCAGCTTTTCTGATATTTCCTTAAATTTTCGCTTTAAGGCTTTTGGTCGCATCATGAACGCAAAAAATTTTGGGTGTGCAAAATTTACTGGGGACGTTTTTTGGCCCCCGGACGGTTTGGTCGTCCGGACGTTTTGGTCGGTTACATAATTATGTGCTGCACAGCCTCAATACTAAATTCCCGTAGTGCTGTGAGCCTTGCAGCTCGTAACGTGCTGGCGCTGCTGCACGTCTTTCGACTCAACCGGGCTTTGCTGGGGAATCCGTGTAGAATGTTGTTGTCTGTTTATAAAAGTTTTCTACTATTCTAAGTATTCTTCCTTTTTTAAAACTGCAACAATAGCAGCAACATTGTTTTGTTTAAAACGTCAGGGTCGTTTTAAATTTGCATTATGTTGTTTTCATGTTATTGGAGTATGTTGGTTGCTTGATTATCCGTAAAGGATAAATCCCGAATTTTTTCTTGATACTTTTATGGATCGCGTGCGGTGCTATAATCCCGGGAAATTGGGGGCCTGTGGCATGCGGGAAGCGGTCCGACGATCGCGGTGGTTGCCTCCATAAGTATGCTGGTCCTTGGAAACTTTTCTTCAATCCGCTAGCTGCCCCATGGCTCTTAATCGTACGGGACTTAATCGCTCGCTCGCTCGGACTTAATCGATCGCTCTCGGTACTTAATCGTACGGTTTTTGGCATGTTTGGCGTTGAACGGTCTGCAATCGTCTGAAGCGGTAAAACCGCAATATATGGATATGGCCAGATTTGCATAAAATGGGCTGATTCTTTATGTTTGCTACTCAGAATTTTTTTCTGAGTCGAATGGACCGAGACAAGAATGGTTCTGAAGTCACGTGACTGAGTTGCAGGCTAATTTGCATAAAGGTGCCTTGATATATCTTTTTCAAGAACTGCCTAATAAAAGTAGACATATTGTAGCTTGTTTTGCTCAGAAAAAAATTCGGAGTCGAATGATATATAACCCATGCGGATATGATATCAGGTGACCAAGTTATGATTTTTTTACATTTTTTCCTTGTTTTTGGCAATTCGTAACTGGGATGCTTTTGACAGCCACGACAGATTTGCCGTGACTGCATACTTCATTCGATTCTATTTTTTAGTACAAAGGTCATGACCATTATGAGAAAAAGTCATCAAAAGGTCATGACAAATGCGGCTTTTAATGGTAAAAAATCCAATATAGGGACACCATCTGAATGAAGTCATACTAACCTGTTCTGCACTCATTAAAAAAAGACGTTGCACGTTTAAAGAAAGAATAACATTGTTGTGGGGTGCTACTGGTTCTGTCTCATTTAAAGAAAGGAGTGACACTGTTGTGGGGTGTTACTTCTTTGGCTTCGTTTAAAGAAGGGAGTAACATTGTTGTCAAGTGTTACTAGCTCTGTCTCATTTAAAGAAAGGAGTAACATTGTTGTGGGGTGATACTTCTTTGGTCCCGCTCAAAGAAAGGAATAACATTGTTGTGGGGTGTTACTTCTTTGGTTTCGTCTAAAGAAAGGATTAACATTGTTGTATGGTGTTACTAGTTCTGTCTCGTTTAAAGAAATGAATAACACTGTTGTGATGTGTTACTTCTTTGGTCCCGCTCAAAGAAAGGAATAAAACTATTGTGGTTTGCTACTAGTTTTGTACCTAACCTAAAGAAACCTGAAAAACACAGCTAATATATAACAGCAAAATTGATCTACCTAAAACAGTTAAACCTAAGAACCCAGAAAACCTTTGTTAATATGAATAGTGAACTGAGTTGTCTTACAAATTTAATTAAATTTAAATAAAAAGCTATATAACTAAAACTTTATTTTAACTTTAAAGAAGCTCAGTTGAACTAAAAACCATTTGTCTCACTTTCAATAAGCAGCCTTACTTTGAAATATAATTTAAATTAAATCGACAGCAGAGACTGAAAGGTATCTGTCTCGCTATAAAGAAAGAAGCAACCTCACTGTGAAATATTCTACAGACAAACTGAAAAGCACTAACCGAAAGGCATCTGTCTCGCTTCAAAGAAAGAAGGAGCCTAACGGAAATATAACGCTGAATATTTTCAAACGATTATTTTCCAAAAGAATGATACTGTGACCTTTGTTCAGCTGCAAGAATCGAATGACGTATTTAGTGACGTCAATAACAAACGCAGGTAAAAGACACGAAATCAACAAACTGGCCCAACTACGATAGAAATTTTAAAAAAATCCTACCATGGTCACGTCACTCACGTGATTTCAGATCCACGTGGGACAATTATCACTCGACTCAGAATTTTTTCTGAACAAAACAAACGTCCACTTCGAAAAGCATTTCATAAATAAACCTTGGGAAACTACCTATATGCAAATTAGCTTGAAACTCGGTCACGTGACTTCAAAACCATCGTTGTCCCGGTCCATTCGACTCAGAAAAAAATTCTGAGTAAGAAACATGAAGAATCAGGCCATTTTACGCATTTTTGGCCATATCCGTATCTTGCGGTATTGCCTCTGAGGTAATCTGAAGCAGGTGCTGGATAATCGCGATTCCAAACGCGGCCTCATCACCGTCGCCAGTCACTACTGCTGCGCGGTTGATCCTGTAGTCTGGGGTAAGGTGAGCTTATACTTTCTGGTGATTTCTAGTGCTAAATCGGTGCAGTTTTCGTGCGTTTGCGAGAGAAGATCAAACGTTTTGACATTTTGCGAC